GATCACTTTTCCATAAGAAATGTGCGGGGTCCTTTTCAGAGATTATTCATGTAGGGTTTCTATATTCAAAAATTCTTCTATTGTACCCCCACTTCCTCCCTGCAACCACCCGAAAAAAAAAATAGAAACTGTGGTAGAAATTGGGAAAAATAGTAGTTTTCCTAATCAGTGCGCAAAGTTATGTTTTCCCGCACGCGAAAGCAGTTAGACGAACGACGCGAAGCGGAGTTCGGATGCTTTAATTGCGGGAAAACTACTTTGCGCACGTATTAGGAACAAATTTTTTTCTACGAGTGAAACAACTACTTCCTTTTTAAATTTTTAATTTCTATAGGCATCAAAAACAATTTGTTGTAACTAACTAGGTATATCTAAACCGGCCAAAAAAAAATTCGGCCTCTCTCCGCGGGGCTTCGCCCCCTGAAAAAGGGGGCCCGCGGGGCTGTGTCCCCCAAAAAAGGGGCTTCCGCGGGGCTCCGCCCCCCAAATATGTGACCACCGCAGCCAAATATAGGGCTCCGCCCCCCAAATATAGAGCTCTCGCAGGGCTTCGCCCCCTAAACAGGCCCCCCCCGAGGCTGTGCCCCTCAAAAAAGTGGAATCCGAGTGGCTCCCGCGGGCTCTCGCAGGGCTTTGCCCCCCAAATAGGGGGTCTCCAGATTTTATTATGGGTACCAGAAAAAAAAGTGTGCGGGAAAAAAAATGTCCCGCTTAGTGTGCGCAAAGTTACTTTGCGCACACTTTTGGGAAAGGGCTTCTTTGCGTACACAAAAGTGTGCGCAAAGTAGTAACTTTGCGCACGGAAACTCTTTGCGCACTAATTTTTGTTACGCATAGCTACCGCATTTATACTCGATTTTTCAATGTTTTGTGGGTTTCTTGATGAACTTATTTATATTCAGAAAGATGGGCCTGATGTTATTTTTGTTCCAATAAAGGCATTCGTTAGGTTTGTTTTTTTTTGCCAAATTTCTGAATGGAGGAGTATAATATATAATATATAATATATAATATATAATATATAATATATAATATATAATATATAATATATAATATATAATATATAATATATAATATATAATATATAATATATAATATATAATATATAATATATAATATATAATATATAATATATAATATATAATACATAATATATAATATATATTAAATTCGAAGAGCGAATCTTGATCTTCACGCCATCTAGGACACGATAATCAACACTACACGCAATTTTGCTGTGCAAAATGGTGAACGTTCCAAAGGCAGACCAAAATTCAGTTCGTTTGGGTTTCACCCAAAAGTACCACTGTTTGAGAAAAGTTTTTGGATTAATTTTCTCCGCTTTTCCATCCATAGACGCGTTTCGACCTATATCAGGTCTCATCAGTATGGCTAGGAACGAAACGCGTCTATGGATGGAAAAGCGGAGAAAATTAATCCAAAAACTTTTCTCAAACAGTGGTACTTTTGGGTGAAACCCAAACGAACTGAATTTTGGTCTGCCTTTGGAACGTTCACCATTTTGCACAGCAAAATTGCGTGTAGTGTTGATTATCGTGTCCTAGATGGCGTGAAGATCAAGATTCGCTCTTCGAATTTCTTGCATTTGCCTTTAGGCGAAAAATTGGATTGGTTTTCTTCGCTTTTCCTAGCCATACTGATGAGACCTGATATAGGTCGAAACGCGTCTATGGATGGAAAAGCGGAGAAAATTAATCCAAAAACTTTTCTCTAATATATATTATATATTATATATTATATATTATATATTATATATTATATATTATATATTATATATTATATATTATATATTATATATTATATATTATATATTATATATTATATATTATATATTATATATTATATTATATATTATACTCCTCCATACAAAAATTTGGCAGAAGAAACAATTCTAACGACTTATTCAAATTTCAAGTAAACCTCGTTAGCACAACCAATTTTGAGCATCTGGAAACATTCAAGAAGATTAGGTATACAGCTCCTCTAAATGTAAATCTTAAACACTCCTAGAAAAAGTATTGTTCCTAACACTTGCGCAAAGTGTCTTTCCCGCGGTCAAAGCTTATCCGAACTCGCGTCGTTCGTCTAAATGCTTTTTCGTGCGGGAAAGTATCACTTTGCGCACTTGTTAGGAAAATAACTATTATATGACAGTTTCTATTTTTTATTTTTTTCGGGGGGTTGCAGGAAGGAAGTGGGGGTACAATAATCTCTGAAAATTTGAACACACCCATGAATACCAGAAAATTTCTGTTTCATTCATAAATTTTTATAATGCTATTGATGGAATTTTTGCAGAAGAGCTACTGTCCAGAGGCAAAAGCGTACTAGCGCGACGTGTCAATTTCAAATAGCTCTCTTAAACAAACAATATGTCACATAGTAAAACGGAAATTTTATTCAGGTGGGTAGAAGCAAAAGCTCACAAACGCACACCGATAAACATCAAGGATTCTGGGAGAAGCACATTTTAGACAAAGTAGAACATTGAAACACAAGATCCACGAATAAAGACACAAAAGTGAAAAAATGAAAAGGCCTTCGAGTGCAAATTATACAGCCTATCAATTGCATACCAGATCGAATGGTACGCTCTAACAAGCGCTCTATAACTTTGAACATATCGAAAACCTTCGCGAAGAAATAACAACGACGAAAATAAATGGGAGAAAAATGAATGTAGAAGAAATAGAATATGAAGGTATGGATATGACAAGAGAAGTGATAAATGGTTGATGAACTATTTAAAAGAAAATAGTTATTTATGCAACAAGTGTGTAAAGTGAACCTTTTTTCACGAATGTGAATTTTGACGCACGAGCCGAAGGCGAGTGCGACAATCACATGAGTGAAAAAAGGTGCTTTACGCACGTATTGCATACAAAATTTTTTCTACTATCAATCAAATATGTGTAAAAAATGAATTTGGATAAATACTTTACGCACTAGTGCGTGAAGAATTTTCACTTTACGCACTAGTGCGTGAAGTAATTTACCAGAAAAATGCCAAATTGACAGTGTTGACATCTGTCATTGACATTACTTTACGCACTAGTGTGTGAAGTGTATTACTTTACGCACTAGTGCGTGAAGTGAAATTTTACATCTTCTGAATAGTGCGTAAAGTTAGTACTTTACGCATGGTAGTAGAAAAAAAACTTTTTGCCATTAATTTATTCTTCATACAAAAACCGCAAAGAAAATACCTGAACATGTAGGTATAAAAGTCACAATAACAAAATCAAAAATGAAATGATATTCTATATCCAATGGGCCACTTTCACATTTTTCAAAAACATATTTAAATTATTCTTCTAGTCATTCTCACACTATCTGTATAAGTACTTTTTTTTCCGAAAAAAAAACGCTTATTTTTTGAAAAAAGAAATTATTTAAAAATCGAATTTTTAAACTGGCGCGAAAACGCGAACTTGGTTTGTGACACCACAAACCAAAAAATCAACAAAAATGCGAGGATGCCAAATTTTTCATTAGTAAATCATTACACATTTCACTAGATAGAAACTATTTTCGTGCTTTACTAGATTATAAAAAAATAAAGGATAGGTACAATCCTTATTAACTCATTCAAATTTCGCATTACTACATGTTGCAACAAAAATGTCAAAATCGGCTTTAGCCAATCAGAAAGCGTTTTCAATCACGTGATTTTTCGTTTAAATTTTTAGTTTTTATTTATTAATTTATTTAATAATCCGACTAAAATCTTGCAAAATATTGTTCATTCTCGGTTGCATTGATGTATCTGCGTCAAAAAATATCATAATTTGCCATATTCCCGGCACGTGAAAGTGGCCTATTAACAAACAAATCAGTTCTGGATGGAAAAAATGGAAAATGATCTGAAGTTAGACATGAAAAAATAGAAACACGAACAGAGGCTTAAGGACTAAATATAGTGTTGTAGGTAATTACCTAGTATTAGGGGCTTGTGGCCGTTTGCACCGACCATTTTAAGGAAGCCTTAGCGATAAGTATTCCTTAAGATGACATTTTTACATGTTAATGACCATTAATAATCTATCCTGCGAGTAGGACTAATTTCGAAATGAAAATTCGTTTCTATATTTTTTGATAATAGTTGCTCATTAAAAACCACAGTTAACAACAACAACTTATTGAATATTAGGAACAAATTGAGAAAACGATTGAAAAAAAAATACTTAATATTATGCTTGAAATCGCAGTTCGGGAATAAAAGACTTTCTCAAAAATGGAGGAGCAGTCGAAATTATTGATTTTAAGGAAATTCTACAAATAACACAATATTACTCTACGAACTTAACGTTTATACCATGGCACAAAACAAATCACAAAAGATGATCAGCAAAAATACAAATTGAAAAAAAAATAAAAAAATAGTCCGGCCTGCAACCAGATATTATCGAATATTACATAATAAAGAGAAATAAAATATTACAAATCGCCGAAAAAAGATGGGATAAAGAGTAAAGATGTTGGAGAATGGAGATAAAACCACAATCAAAGTATATGTATTGCTTAACATGAAAATGATTCAAATAATTATTGGACTGCAGTGATATTGGTGTTATCATTTAGAAAAGGTGACAGAAAGGATCTAAATATAAAGTACAGAATCATAAGTTTATTAGCCCACTATCAACAGAAAAAGTTTTTTTATTTAGATTTTTAAAGTTATCCTTATCATCATAGAGCGGCGCTAACACTATCAGTGATTCCGTCATGTGGGAACTTTTTACTTGGTAAATGATAGGGTTAAGTTAATTAATATGATGCCATGCCATGATGCAATATTCTGGGGATTCTCTCATTATATCTACCTACCAATGATGGTAGCTAAGGAATAATTTATTTGTTTTTGTTTTTGTGGGATTTTCCTTCAAAATCATCATTAGTACATAGTTTAATATTAGTCATGGTATATCATGAATTTACTTTTTTAATGATGGGATTTTTTAGTTACGGATGGGCAATTTAGTAGCAAAAAAAGAAGACACAAAAATGCTGCAGCTTTATAATTACTCAAGTAATAACAACGATACTATAATTATTGATAATTTTCTGGAACGTCCTTTTTAGGCGCTGGGTGGTGGAGGCGGGGGGTTTTCGCCTTTTCCAGAATCTGCTGGTGGTTGACCGCCATTTTTCCCACCCTAAAGTCAAAATTGAATAGTTATTACCTAGGTAATATCACAAAAAAAAAAACAAAATGTTCAATTAAATTTTCTAAAGTTTGGATGTCAGTTGATTTGCGGCTTTTTTGCATGTCTGTTAATGACATAACTGTATAGTTTGATATCTTTTTGGAGTAGTTTCTGCCATATGCTTATAATGTTTCTAAAATTTGACTTAAGTTCGATTTGTGGTTGTGGTTAACAACTACTATTTTGGAATGTTCAATATCAGACTCTTTTTTCTGGTAGAAATTGCTTAGATTTCCAGAAGCTTTTTCACATATTTTGTTGAAAAACTATTTGTTTTTAAATTTAAATATTACTGTTGGTTTGTTACTTCAAAAAGTTTAGGGATAGCCTTTGACATTTTTTTGCATTGCATTCTTTTCGTTATTAGCTTTTTGGAAATGTACTATTTTTCTTTGATGTCAATTAAAGTTGTAAGCACAGAAAAATGTGATCAAAAAATTCTTCTTCGAGAAGCTATTTTTATTCTTAAGAAATTGTTGGGTCTTGAAAAGCAATGACTCAGTAGTAGCAGTACACTACTAGAGTTCTTCACTTTGTAGTGGATATTCACTAACAAATTGTTATAAGCAGATGCAATGATAGACCACAGATACAAAAAATGCCTATTGTAAAAAAAAATTTATCAACGATAGAAAGCATCTTCACAATAACATTATAATAGTAGAATAATCTACTTACGGCTGCTGCTACCATCATTCCTGGACCGGCCATCATTGCCAAAAGAGCACTAAGAACAATAAAGAGATAAGTGAGGAATTTCATTTTTACCAGCAACTGTTGTTGGAACTAATAAATCGTTAGCTTGAAATAAACTATTTATACTTTGAAAAGCAGTTGATTATTATTATTAAAATAATAATTCCAAGTAAGCTAATTGGTCAATTTAACAAAAACACAGATTTTTATCTGAAAATAACATCAACTTCTGCGTCAGGAAAATATACCTAAGTATTATAATTATTAGGCATTACTGGCTATAATTAATTATTGTTTTGCGTGACAGCAATTAAGAAGATTTACATAATAATTTACAATTTTTTTTGTTTCTTCAAAAATACCTATTCAACGAAGCTGCTGAAGATATACATATAAATAAATAAATGCGGATCGTTGGATACGCAATCAAAAAATCATGTTTCGCAGAAATTTCGCAAGGATTTTGAGATAAAATATGGGTTGCATAATATATGTTATTCAAAATACTCTAAGCAGTTAGCAAGCAATAAAGTTTTATATGACAAAATATTGTTTCTTCTTGTTCTAGTTGATGATGGAGAAACGGGATATAGTTCTCACGGCCGTCTTCTCCTCCATAGCGGCTCTGATCATCTTAGCAGGTGCGGGAGCTGCCTGCTACTTTTTCCAGAAGCGGCGTCGCAAGCGTCAGGAGGAGGAAGACGAAGCTGAAGAGGGCCGCGTGGCTGCCGAAGAAAAAAAGTCGAGATTGAATGGGTTTTTGAGCTTGAAGACTCCGTTGATTTCGACCAAGACTTTGGGGTAAGAAGGAATTTTTAAACTGTATTAGTTTGTTTTATAAAATATCGAAAATCAACTAGTACCAATTTATTTGTTTTAAACTACCTATATCTTACAAATTGATATGGTGTTCAATTAAAGAATACAAACGGTTTTTTTAAGAATTCTGAAGCCAAAAACTCGATCCTCAGGTTTTTCTCATTGCGAGCTTAGACTATTATGTTCAACCAATTTCCCAACACTTGAAGTTTTCTGGAATACAGATTTTGATCAGGGCTGCTTGATTGATCCATGCTATCTTAAAAACCCTTGAAGACACTTTTCAAAAAAACACTAATTTATTTTAAAATACAGGTTACAATAATTATATTCGACATTAACTTAAACCCATTAAGTAAAAAGTTGGTGCTTGGCAGCAACTTTTTAAAAATCAACTAGGTTGTTGTGTAGACTGGTCACATCTTGTTCTGAGGGTTGATTTGGATGAACGGTGTTTCTTCGTTTCGGTAAAATCTTTCTAAGGTTGTTGCTTATTTGAAGACGTGAATGAGACTTCCGGGGTTGTAGTTTATCTCCGTCGATAGGGCTAGATTTGGGAGGTGCCTTCCGACGACACTTACAACAAATGTAAATGATTACAAGGGCTATTAGTTTGATATTGATACCCATGCAGGGGGTTCAATCAGACACTATACTATATCAAATGAGAAATAATGACTTGAATAAACTGAAATAAACTTCTACAAATGACCCAGACAAACTTTCAAAGCCATGGTAGGATCGATTTCAGTCTTTCCGTAATTCACTGGTTTTGGCAAAATCATCTTAATATCTCTTTTAGAAACAGTGGCAATATCTCTAAAATCTGGACATTTGGGAAAACAAAAATTCCTCCTTTTTATCACTCTTCCTTAAAAATGGTAATTCATAATCATTTATGTTATCACTATCGATTTCTGGTAACAATTTTCCTATGTAATAGGTAGATTTTTTTTCTTTAATGTTTCAGTTGCAAATTCTACTAGAACTACATAGTCTCAGTGTTACCCATCTTAACATGTCTCATTCATACCCAAGTCACTTTGAAAAATAAAATGCCATTTTTTAGTCCCCCTTTGATCTTAATTTAGTTTTAATAAATCCAATTAACAGCAGAAAGGTTCCCTTATCACTCAAAGACTATGCCTAATAGAAAAAATCACCGTTTTTTCAAATTTCGCCGAAAAAACTCGTTGACAAAAAAAAAAAACCCGAAAGGTTGTACCCCCTTCCGCGTTGCAGACGAACCTGAAAATGGAAGATGGTTGAAAATAGAACCGATACTCCGCTTAAGATATCATTAATGTCTTATTGCGGCGACACCTATTTAAAAAGTGAAGAAATAGCTAATATTTTGAATGTCTCACTGTTACCCGTGTCTCAATGTTACCCACTTTCCCCTACGATGATGAAGGAGATGAACCATTGACTGTGTTTTGATACGAATGGTTCTTGGATTATTTTATCCAGCTCATCAGAAAATTGGTTTAGTCTATGCTGTGCCACGTTTAGATCATCGATGTTGATTTTTGATTGTTTAGGAGGTTTTTTTGCCATCACATCTGATAATGATTGATAACGTTGATAATGTTATAAGCCAGTAGTTTATGTCTAGCTCTTGCATATTGTAGTCACTAGCGAGTAAGATTGAAGTTTGGCAAGTCTTGAGAAGTGTCCCTGTTGACCCCAAGAGTTGGGCTTCGCAAATGGCATCGCTGTCTATAGGGTATTGTAGAAGATCAGAACATATCCTTGTGTTATTATCAAGAGGTTTGCAGTGATTCAGGCTTTGGAGTAATATGTACAATAAAGAATCGTCATCTCTCGCGATATATTTTTGAGTTATTGGTAAAATATGATGAAAACCTGTTCGATTATCCAAAATCGGGATAAGGTAGATGTGATAAAAAGTGTATATCTCAGGTTCGATCAGCGGTATTCTAAGAATAAAGACAATTTTACCTTCTGATTGATCAGCTTCTAAATCAATTATATCCAGGGGCCGTATTCTCGTCACCGGGGAACAGCGTTCTCTCAAGAGAACGATTGCTCTGTCTTAGTCTCCTATGTTGGTATTTCCATAATACTGACAAAGACGGAGCAATCGTTCTCTTGAGAGAACGCTGCTCCCCGGTTACGAGAATACGGGCCCAGGTATCGTGCTAATAAAAAAAATTAATTCTACTATTCAGGAACCCCAAATCGATGAAGAAACATTCAACATTGATATCGCAGAAATCAGAGAATTCATATCTGACATTTCGAACGATTTAAAGTTTTACGAAACCCAAACCAAGTGGTTACTAATTTGGTTTTGACATAGAGAAATATAATAAACCAAGGTAGGAGTTACCGATTCATATGCGCCAAGTGGCAACGTATTTCTTGTAGCCCATAGTGGCGCTAGTATAGCTTGGAACTATCTGACAATTCTGACATCGCCTTCCATTCTTATATCTGTCTTTTTCTAAGAGATGTCATAATAAAGGAAGAGAGGAGTGAGAGGACATAGGTTTTTTTTTTTTTTAATTTATTACATTGCGATTTCTAACCTATAAATTGACATTTTCATTTTTCAAAACTGACAGAAATAAGTGAACCTAAACTTGATAAGTTTATTAAAAATACATGATTCTGGTAAGATTTAGAATGTGAAAATCGTTAAGTTCATGCATAAAGAATGATAATTAAATACTAACCTACCACTACCATTACCTACTGTTTTTGCTTTTTTTTGTTGTAATTTTTTTGCAATTTATTAGTTAGGTACAGAGTTATATTTATATATAATTTAATTTTTATTATTCTTAAAAGAGATTAATTTAGCCGATACTTGATGGAAATCCATTACAAATTTTGAAAGGAAACAAAAAAGGTTTCTAGATTTCCACAATTTTATTTTAATGATACCGTAACATGTTTCGGCACACGGTGCCTTCTTCAGATGGAATAACATGTTACGGTATCATTAAAATAAAATTGTGGAAATCTAGAAACCTTTTTTGTTTCCTTTCAAAATTTATTATTCTTTGTTAATTGTCAAAAATCAAAATATACAGTGAGTTCATAAAGTTCCGCATAAATTCATTATTTTGAAAACGGTAGAGTTTTTGAAAAATCATTCAGACACGTCAATTTTGTAATTTGTTTGAAATTTTTTGATATATTTTTTATCATACAGGGTGTCTCAAAAATAGCTTCGCTGGTTTCAACTTCATTTTTTTAAATGGTACTCCCTGTATATTATGATATTTCTGGATTCTACGGAAAATTCTAGACATATTTCATGTACAATGTCATATACCTATCTTCAATTGTTTCGGAAATATTGACAGTTGAAAATTGACTTTTTTGCATTTTTTACAGACTCTAAAACTTGAACGGTTGATTTTACAGCAAAACCGATTTCACATTCCTATCTTAGTTTTTCATAAACTATCATTTGACATCAACTTTGAAGTTAATCCATGATTAAAAATTCCGGTTAAATTTAATCTCCGCTTTAATTCAAAGCTGGTGTCAAATGATAGTTTATGCAAATCTAAGATAGGAATGTAAAATCGGTTTTCCTCTAAAACTTACCGTTTCGGTTTTACAGCCTGTCAAAGTTGCAAAAAAGTCAATTTTCAACTGTCAATATTTCCGAAACAGTTGAAGTTAGGTATATGACATTGTACATGAAATATGTCTAGAATTTTCCGTAGAATCCAGAAATGTCATAATATACAGGGGGTACCATTTAAAAAAATGAAGTTGATACCAGCGAAGCTATTTTTGAGACACCCTGTATGATAAAAAATATATCAAAAAATTTCAAACAAAAAAACAAAATTGACGTGTCCAAGCGATTTTTCGAAAATTCTACCGTTTTCAAAATAATGAATTTATGCGGGACTTTATGAACTCACTGTATAGATTACTTCCTGAACATTTTTTGATTATTTATTTTTGTTTCCCGGCCAGCGTCTTTCCGCACTTTTTTTCTGTCGACTCCGGAAAAACGCTGGTCTAGATATCTACCTTCAAAAATAACAAAGCTATAATTTAAAAATTCAAAAAGCCCGCCAAATATTATTTAAGTTTGTCTTGTAGTGGATAGGGGCGCTAGTATCGATATGACGTCATCGCAATGCCAGTGTCGCACCACAGAATCGGTAACTCTCACCTTGGTTTATTATATTTCTCTATGTTTTTTGAGTAAACTTTCAAGTTCACGTTCGTCTGTATCATAGATAAGGGATACAAAACTCTCTCGAACCTATATTATAGATAGGCAACTCAATACAAACATTTTGTTC